GAACACTTGATTGTGCTTATATGAAACTTATACTTGGATCAGGAGGCATTAGTTAGAACAGAGCAAGGAAATATTTCATGATTCAAAATTGGGAAGGGTGTGCATCAAGGATGTGTCCTATCTCCATATCTTTTCAGTCTATATGCACAACAGATTATCCAGGAGGCTGGGCTCTATGAGAAGTGTGGCATCAGGATTGGAGGTAGATTCATCAACAATCTGCATTATGTAGATATCAAAATCCTGCTTGCTGAAACTGAGAAGGACCTGAATCACTTGTTGTGGGGGGTCAAGACCTTAAGCCTTCAACATGGATTGATTCTCAACATCAAGAAAACAGATTCTCACCACTGGGCCGATTGGCAGCCTCATGATAGATGGTGAAGAGATTAAGATTGTTGACAGCTTCAGTTTGCTTGGTTCTACAAACACTCTTGGTATCAGCATCCTGGAAATTAAAAGACTAATTGCATTGAGAAAGTCTGCTGTCAGAGACCTCTCCAAGGTACAGAGGAACAATGATTTCAGTCTGGAGACTAAGGCCTGATACAGGCCATGGTCTTTGCAATTACTTGCTATGCATCAGAGATCTGGACAATGACTAGGGATGATAGAAGGAGAGTTGATGCCTTTGAGCTTTTGCTGCTGGAGAAGAGTACTGAATATTCCATGGACTGCTAGGAGAACAAACAAGTTAGTCCTGGAGAAGGTGAAGGCAGGCTGCTCCTTAGAGGCAAGGATTCTGAGGCTTCATCTGACATACTTGGGAAATGTTGCAAGGTGGGATCAGTCCTTGGAGAGAGACGTCATGCTTGGGAGGATGGAGGGACAGTGCAGAAAAGGAAGATCCTCAATGAGATGGATTGTTTCAGTCACTGGGGTATTGGGGATGGTTCTGTCAGAGACAATAAGATTGGCAAGGGATAGAGCAGGGTTTATGGCTTTTGTACATAGTCGCAGGTGACTCAATGGCACATAACAACTACAACTTCCTTGCCTCCAAGGAGAACTACAGCTGAACCTTTCCCAAGACATGTTTTTGTTCTTTTTGGTAGTCCATGGAATATTCAGTACTCTTCATCAGCACTGCAATTCGAAGATGTCAATTCTCATCGTTATTCATTGCCCATAAGCATAGCAAGTAATTGATGAAGACTGATTCAAGTGCAGCTTAGTCTCCAAATTGACAGTATTTTGGAGAGGTCCCTGACAGTGGACTTGCCCAAATTAATACGTCTCTTTTTCTTCTTATCTCCTGACTGCTAGTACCAAGAGTGTTGATTGTAGATCCAAGAGGGGCAAAAATAATAACCATTTCAATCCTTTCTCTATTTTTCATGATGTTACCCACTGGCCTGGTGGTAAGGACCTTTGTCTTCTTGATGTTAAGATACAATCCATATTAAAAAAAATGTACTCTTTGATCTTCTGCAATAAGCTCTTCGGGTCCCTCTCACTTTCTCCAAGCAGGACTGTGTCATCTGCATAGTGCAAGCTGTTGAGTCTTCTTCCTATTCTGATGCCATATTCTTATTCCTGAAGTCGAGCTTCACTGATTACTTGCTCAGCATACAAACTGAATAGATATGGAGGAAAGATAACACCTCTGATACACACTCTTCCTTATTTTAAACCATACAGTCTTCTCTTATTACTTTCTGATAATAGTTTCTTACTCCAGGTATAGACGTTATATGAGTCCAATTAAGTGTTTAAGGATTCCCATTTCTCTCAATGTTAGCCCTAGTGTTGTGATCCACACAGTCAAATATAAAAGATAAATATACAGATAAGACACTCTTCTGTTATTCTCTGCTTTCAGCCAGGATCCATCTAACATCAACAATGATATTCTGGTGACATGGCCTCTTCTAAATCCACCCTGTTTTCTGTCAATGTATGTTCCAGTTGTTTTGGGATGATCTTCAGCAGTATTTTGCTTGCATGTGACATAAATGATATTTTTTAATAATTTCCACATTCTTTAGGATTCACGGGTTTTGGGAAGGGGAACAATATGGATTTCTTCAGGTCAGTTGGCCAGTCACCTGTCCTTAAACTTTCCGCAAATAAACTGGTAATCACCTCAAGAGTTGCATCTGTTAATTGAAAAATGTCAATCAGTATCCCATCTTTTCCTGGGGCCTTAGTTTTTGCCAGTGCCTTCAGCGCTGAAATTCTTCCTTTGTTATTGCCTTTGAAAACCCTCTGGGGGGTAAGCTAGGAGTCAATTCTGACTTAATAGTAAATAACAATGGTGGTTATCAGAGATTGGAGGAAGTAGGAAAAGCAATCACTTTCTAGATAGCAGACCCTTGTTAGTTGTGGTAATGGGAAGTACAATACAGACTCCAGGTTTATAAACAAGCACATTTAAGCCAAAGTAAAGGACACTAAGAAATACACAAGAACAAGGCATGTTGTTGGTACTATAACAATTTAGCAGCAGAAGCATTAATAAAAGAAATGCATAAGGGGTTACTTAGATGTATAGATACACATTTGTGTATAGGAGTGTGTGTGTGCACGTGTGTGTGTGTGTGTGTGAGAGAGAGAGAGAGAGAGAGAGATAGGTAGATAGAGAGAGAGAGAGCAAGCGAGCTATGGTGGCTTAGTGGAAAGGAATTGGGCTGCCAAATCAAAGGTTTATTGTTCGAATCCACCAGTGGCTCTGTGGGAGAAAGATAGGCATGTGATTTACTGCTTCTGAAAATCCATTGGAGGGTCAACTATGAGTCGGTTCTGGCTTGAAGGTACAAAAACAACAACAACATTTATGTGAACATATATCTGCAGGTCTACCCACATACATGCTTATGGGTGTGGTAGCATGGTCCATAGGGAGTTGCACTGTGTCCCTTGGGGCTTTTGAATAGCAACATATAGATTAGGTAGATAGAAGATTGATTAGTGTTAGGGACCATCTGGTTAGCTAAAATTCACCTCAACCCTATGACAAATTGAACCTTGTCCTATCCTACACCATCCTGACCATCCCTGATATACTTGGGCCCATGATTACAATAACTGTGTCAACCATCTATTTGAAACCACATTGTTGTTGTTGTTGTTGTTATGTGCCGTCAAGTCGTTTTCGACTCATAGTGACCCTATGTACAACAGCCCTAAACCTTGCTCTATCCTGTGCCAATCGCACTGCCTCTGACACCCCCATCCCGATTACCCCAGTCACTGAATCAATCCATCTCATAGAGAGTCTTCCCCTCTTGCACCTTCCCACCCACCCCCAGCATGATGTCCCTCTCCAAGGACCTGTCCCTCCTTGTAACATGCCCAAAGTATATCAGACGAAGCCCCAGAATCTTTGCCTCCAAGGAGTAGTTTGGTTTAACCCTCTCCAGGATGAATCTGTTTGTTTTCTTGGCAGTCCATGGTACATACAATACTCTTCTCCAGCACCACAGCTCAAAGGCATCAATTCTCCTTCTATCCTCCTTAGTCATTGTCCAACTCTCTGATGCTTAACAAGTGATTGCAAAGACCATGGCCTGTATCAGGCACACCTTAGTCTCCAGAGAAACACTGTTGCTATTGAGTACTTTAGAGAGGTCCCTAACAGCAGACTTTCCCATCGCAATACGTTTTTTTATTTCTTGACTGCTTGTGCCAAGAGTGTTGACCGTGGATCCGAGCATAATCAACATTTATCCTAAAGCAAAAATAAGGTGGATAAAGGGGACAAGGAAACAAAAAATAGCGTTAATAGTAGAAGAGAAGTGGAGGGGACCTGGGAGAGGGTTTGTAAAACAATGAAAGAATCTTTTCTTTTACTTTTCCATAATTTTTGGACTCATGTACTTATAACTTGTTAGTCAAATTTGTGTCTTCTAGGTTGCAACACCCCCATGATACATCTTAAAGGATATGAACATGTACAGCCAAGCACAATCAATAAGAGTGCATCTAAATTCCAAAATCAATCTCCATAATAGTCTATGTGTTTCCTACTGCCAAAGGGGCCCTTTAGAGTAGTAAGAGAAGATCTTCACCCTGAAACCCACAGCGTCCCTTTTCAGCAGGAAGTAGCTAAGAGAATACGCCATCCCCTTTTCCTTATGACTCAGGGTGAAGTCTCTCTCAGGGAGGAGTGATAGGGAATGGCAAAGGACACACTGACAAAGAAGATTAATCAGAACTGGCTTTGACAAGAACTGTGGCATTTGGACAAGAACAAACTGGGAGGAGGGTAGAGAGAATAGTGCAACAATGAATGAATGGAAACCCAAAATCTCTGTAAATGTTTATGAAAATTAATAAAATATAGAAAAAATAGTAGAAGAGAAATAATAAGAATGTTGATACAATGTCGAAAATGTAGTCCCTGTCATTGAACAATAAGTGCAGAACTTGCATGGCTCAATGCAATATTATAAGAAGAAAAACTACGGAGCTCAGCTCCACTCTGACAGTCGTGGGACTGCCATGAGTCAGAGTCTGCACACAGCCACTGGTGCCACCATTAACCATCCGGGTCTCTATCCCCTGCTAGGCAATACTCTACACAAAAGCAGGAATCTTTCCAATTGGCTGGTCCATCAGTCAGTCTCCCCTGGAAGCACCTGGCAAAGAAGAGCTGTGCATCACTGAGAAGGTGCTTGTCTTGGAGCGGCAATAGAGGACACAAGGGTCTGCATTCTACCCCAAAGTATTTGCTCATCTACAAGTTTTTGGAGGGGCCAGGTTTGACACGAAGCCAGTGAGCTGTTCTCCGCCATGGAAGAACTGCAGCTAGCTAGCTGAGAAGGGGCACTAAGAACAGGAAGAACATGCACAGGTTGGGCCAGGGCTTGATAGCTCAACCCCTGGACACTTGATCTGTTGTCTTCTGACAAATACTTCTGAGGTCCATGGAGGAAACCTCCTCTTTCACCCCCACTTCTCATTCTCTGCACCTCTCCAGATCTTTCCTACTGTCACACACACCCAAGCCCTGCCACAAATGATGTCTCCAGCCAAGCTCACAAGGCAGAGAGAAGGAAATGGCTTTTCAGAAGGGCCCGAGCAGCAAGGAAAGTCGAGGCGATAAAGGCAATAAGCTCGGCATCTCTGAAGGAGGCCCTACGCGTGAAAAAGGGGAAGAGGCCGGCCAGCGCGCAGAGCAGGCCCGGGCTTCTGCCCGCCCAGCCCGGGCGGGGCCGCGCTCCTCCGGAGGCTCCCCTTTGCCGCGGCAGCTGAGGACGAGGCGCGCCCCCTCGCGCGGGCTACCCACGCGCAACCTTCCGCACTCGGCCTGCGCGCGCGGACCGGCGCCCGCGGCTTCGGGGGGCGGGGACTGGCGGCTCAGCATGGCTGCGAATGCAGCGGCTGGCAAGGCGGCAGCGGTGCTGGAGACGCCCCCACAGCAGGAGCAGGTACCCGGCTTGCCCAGGGTTGTCTTGTCTCGGGAGAGGGGAAGCTGGGCCAGCGTCCTTGCGTTTGGATGCATGAACTGGGCCCCAAGAGCCATGGGAACTGGCCTGGGGGAGGAGGGAGTTAGGTGGCCTTCTGAAAAATGACCCTCATTTTGTGCCACCCCACTTTTCGCCAACCCACCTCTCCTCACTCCTCTCTGGAGGGCCTCATTTTCGGGCTTACTGTTAACTCTCCCTTTCCTCCTAGCCTCTTACTCTCTCGCTGCTTTCCCATTTCCTGTGCGTTTAAGGTCCTTTTCTTCCAGAATGAGCCTTAATCTTGTTTATTCTGTCTCCCAAGATGAGCTTTATCCTGCTAACTCCATCCATCCAGGCCCTTCATACTTCCTTCCTCCATGCCAGGCAGAAGCCCCAGGGTCCAGGAGAAAAGCCCTAGGGCATTGAAGGAAGCCGGCTGAGGGAAATTGGCTGTACTTTAGAGCTTTGCCTTGACTGCAATGGTTCGCAAACTTGAGGATCTCAGAATCACTTGCTCATTGCTCAAAACTCATCAAAACTCTTTGCTGTTTAGTCTGAGCACACTCATAGCTGACTCTACAGCAGATTTTCAGAGACTGTAAATCTCACTGGAGAAAAGTGCTCACCTTGATTTTCAGAGACTGTAAATCTCACTGGAGAAAAGTGCTCACCTTTCTCCCTGAGGGCAGCTGGTGAATTTGAACTTCCAGAGAGGCTCTTGAGTTAGCAGTACAAAATATGAAATATGCTGCCAGAGCCCCTTGCTTTCCAGTGGAAATGACTTGTAGCTGAGCCTCCAGTGGGCTTTCAGAGGAAATTAATTGCAATAGAGTTTGCCCATCCTTCTCCCTAGGAGCAGCTGGTCATTGACTCACATGCCTTTGTGATTACAGTGCAGTTTCTTACCACTAAATCCTGAGTTTGTTTTTTGTGCCTGTGATTCAGGCCATATTCTTCCTGGTCACTTGCTATGCATCTGAGAGCTGGACAATGAATAAAGGTGACAGAAGAAGAATGGCTATCTTTGAGCCATGGTGTTGGAGAAGATCACTGAACATCTTATGGATGGCCAAAAGAACTAACAAATATATCTTTGAAAGTGTTCAGTTAAAGTACTCTTTGGAGGCAAGAATGATGAGGCTTCACCTCACATACCTTGAGCATGTTGCTAGGTGGGGCTATTCCTTAGAGAGGGACAAGATAGTAGGAAGGGTGGAGGGTCAGCGAAGGAAAGGAAGACCCTTGAGCAGGTAAATTGATACAGTGACTGCCACAATGGCCTCTTGTATGTCAAGAAGTGTGAAGATGGCACCGGAATGGACAGGGTTCAGATCTTTTGTTCTTAGGGTGGCTATGAATCATACTTGACTTAACGGCACCTAACAACCATAACTAGGCAGTCTCACTATTCTCACCTCCAAGGTGCATTTTGGATGCACTCCCTTGAAGATAGATTTGTTTGTTCTTTGGACAATCCATAGTCAGTTTTCTTTGAAGACACCACAATTCAAAGATAATTATTTTGCTGTTAGGTACCTTTAAGTCAACTACAACTCGCAGGTCTTCCTTATTTGTTGTTCAACTTTCACAGGTGTGATGTTGTTCATTGGTTTAGTCAAGAATGTTGTTTTCTTAACTTTGTAGTTTAATCTACACAGAAGGGTATAGTCTTTGATCTTTGCAAAGTGCTTTAAATCTTCTTCTTCACTTTCTACAAGGACTGTATCATCCACATGTGTAAGCTGTTGATGAGTCTTCCTCCAAGCTTGATGCCACATTCTTCTTCATGTAGACTAACTTCTCGGAATATTTGCTCAGCAAACATGTTGAATACATATGGAGAGAGGATTCAATCCTGACTCAGAACTTTCCTGATTTAAAATCAAGCAGTATCCCTTTGTTCTTTTGGTTTTAATGCTTCTGGGACTATAGATAATTTCCACATGAACACAATTAAGTGTTAAGGAATTTCCATGCTTCATAATACTATCCATAATTTGTTATGATGTCACACAGTTGAACACAAATAAACATCTTTCTGGTATTCTCTATCAGCTGATTTTTATCTGATGTCCGAAATTATATCCCTCAATCCTCATCCTCTTCTGAATCCAGCTTGAATTTGTGACAGTTCCCTGTGAATGTTCTGCTCCAAACATTTTAAATGGTCATCAGTGTGATTTTACTTGTATGAAATACTGATAATATTGTTGGATAATTTCCATATTTTGTTAGGTCACATTTTTTTAAACAGAAGAGATTAAATGTCCCTAAATTGGATCACATAAAGATTTCTAGAATTTTTAGGATGCACAGAGATTATTCTGGATTCAGGCAATGAGCAAGACTACTTTTGTTATTAGGGGCCAACTGTATGGTTCAAAATTAGGAAAGGAGTGCATCAGGGATCCATCCTGTTCCCTGTACCTTTTCAATCTCTTATACATTGTTGGTGGAATTGTGAAACAGTACAACCACTCTGGAAGGCAGTTTAGTGCTTCCTCAAAAAGCTGAATTTAGAAATTCCCTATGACCCAGCTAGTCCATTGCTTGAAATATACTCCAATAAAATAAGAACTGAGGCTCAAATGAAAACTTGTACACCAATGTCCATAGCAGTATTATTCACCATCTCAAGAACATGGAAACAGCCCAGATATCCAACCACAAACAAATGAATTGAGAAGTTGTAGTACATTCATACAATGGAATACTATGCAGCACACAGAAGCAATGATTTTGTAAATTACTACCTAACTTGAGAGGGACAGAAGAGCATTATGCTGAGTGAACTAACTTGGTCCCACAAGGAAAAATACTGTATACAACTATTATTATAGAATGAGTATGAGGATCCAAGTGGGAGTGGAAGGTGGAAGCAGAGGGGTGAGGATGGGATCTTTGTGAAAAATAATGTATTCCAACTTTGTAAATAAATCAGTATGAATTTTTTTTAAAAAAATCCTTTAAAAATCATCCTTCAAAGGTTTACTGAAGTAGAACAAAGGCTTTATATATTTATTGAGAATGGTTTATCTCCAATATTGCTGTTGTTAAAAAATAATTTCTTAAATTAATCTTATTCCATCCATTGTTGTCCTTGGAGACAGACATCATCCTTGGGAGGGGACAGCTCGAGAGAGGAAGACCCTCGAAGACATGGATTGAGTCAGTGACTAGGGTAATGGAGGTAGACGTGTCAGAGACAATAAAGTTGGTTCAAAATAGAGTAGGGTCTAGAGCTGTTTTACATAGGGTCACAAAGAGTAGCAAGTGACATGATATGGCACATAGCAACAACAAACTTGTTTTAATTTCTTCAGCTTCACTTTGAACTTGTATATAAGTAGTTGATGGTCTGTCCACAGTTGGTGTGTAGGCTTGTTCTGACAACTGATGGTGCACTTTTATGCCATCTCTTTTCACAGAGGTAGTCAGACTGATTCTTGTTTTCCAGGTACGGTTCATGGGTATAGTTGCCATTTAGGTGTTCTTTAAAGGCATTAGCAATGAATAAATCGTTTATTGTGCAAAATTCTCCAGCCTCATTTCTTTCACCCAGCCCCTATTTTCAAAGTACCAGTCCTTCTTTGTTTCTAACTTTGCCATTCTTGTTGTTATTGTTGTTATGTGCCATCAAGTCAAGCACAACTCATAACGACCCTGTGAACAAAAGATCTGAACCCCGTTCTGTCGTACACCATCCTCACACTTCCTGAAACACAAGAGTTCATTGCAGAAGTCACCATATTAATTCACCTTGTTGAGGATCTTCCTTTCCTTTACCAACCTCCACCCTTCCCAGCATCATGTCCTTCTCTAAGAAATAGCACCTCTTAGCAACATGGCCAAAGAATGTGAGACGAAACTTCATCATTCTTGCTTCTAAAGAGCACTCCAGCTGCACCTTCTCCAAGAAGACGTATCTGTTCATTCTCTTGGCCATCCATGGGGTGTTCAGTGCTCTTCTCCAACACCACAGCTCAAAGGTGTCAATTCTTTTTCGGTCATCCTTATTCATTGGCCAGCTCTCAGATGCATAGCTAGTACTTGGAAAGACTGTGGCCTGAATCAGACATACCTTAGTCCTCAAACTGACATCATTACTCCACAATAATTTGAAGAGGTCCCCAACTGCAGATTTTCCCAGTGCAGTGTGTCTCCTTATTTCCTGATTGCTCATACCAAGGGTGTTAATTGTGAATCCAAACAAGATGAAGCTGTTGACAGTTTCAGTCTCTTCTCTATCCGTCATGACACTGCCTATTGTACCAGTGGTAAGAATCTTTGTTTTCTTGGTATTGAGATGCAATACATACTGAAGGCTGCATTGCTTGATCTTCTACAACAAGTGCTTCAAGTCCTCCTCACTTTCAGCAAGTAAGGTTGTGTCACCTGGATAACACAGATTATTGATGAGTCTCCCTCCAATCCTGATGCTACACTCCTCTTCATAGAATCCAGCTTCTCAGATAATTTACTCAGCTAAAAGATTGAGTAGATATGGAGAGAGAATACAACTCTGACACACTCCCTTCCCAATTCCAAACCATGGAGTGCTCCCCTGCTACATTCACACAACAGCCTCCTTCAGGACGTATATGTTCCTCAAGAGTACAATCAAGTGCTCTGGGATTCTCATTCTTCTCAATGTCAGCCACAACTTGTCATGATCCACACAGTCAAATGTCTTCGCATAGTCAATAAAGCACAAATAGACATTCTTCTGATATTCCTTACTTTTAGCCAGGATCCGTTTGACAATAGCAATGGTATTCATGGTGCCATCACCTCTTCTGAAAAAAAAAAATTGAAGTGGATGTCAGAAGAGATTCTAAAGATTGCACTGGAGTGCTAAGAAGCCAAATCTAAAAGAAAACATATCAAAGTGGAAGATCTGAATAGACTATTTCAAAGGGCAGCTCTAGAGGACAAAAAAACTATTAAAATGGAATGTGCATAGAGCTGGAATTTGAGAATAA